TGTCATGTTTATATTAAAGTAATAAATGTGCTAAGACTAGTCACTAACCTATGGGCATATCAGAGCATTTCAACACTTTATTACACTGTCAGGAGCCTGCCATAAAAGCTCAAGAAAATAAATGAACTAAGAGGAACTCACTCTAACAGTGTAATTTTAATCAGTCAATAAGTGATCATATTCTTTCCTTCTATATGTGATTAATGATGTTGAACTGAGCATTGTGTCCCTTTAAGTGAATACAGAAAGTTGATATGCTCAGATAATGGCCCACAAAGGCAAACAATTCAAGAGGAAGCTTGTGAACATCCCAGAACATCTATTAATTACCAAGAGGGAGTTTCCAAGTGTGGATTGCATATGGCCAATTGTTTGTTCTTCTCCTCCTCTTAAATACACTAGCAAGTGGAAAGGTAGAAATAAAACTGAATTACTTTTCAGTTTTGAACTTCAAAAATCCTGAAAAAAACCCTGTATGTAAACTTAGGGAATTACTATTTTGGTTCTGTAAGCAAGTAATTGCAAGATACAGAAGAGTGTCTCCTAAAACAGCCTGCATAAAGAGCACAGAACTACTTGTAAAAAAGAGACCCAAACCCAAAATGAATCAATAATAAACTTGTTGGCCAGCCCAATTATCAAGAAGAAACTAGAAGTATTTATTTTTTGAAGATGAATTGCAGGCAAGCACCAAATTTTGTCAAAGTGACACTTCCAATTTTACCTTATGGTGATGCTTCAAGCAAAAGGAATTGTTTCTGCAGTAGCAGAATTTCATTAATAATTTAACCATGTTTATTTTGGTTCAGTTTTACTGAAGTAGTAGGTGACTTTCTTATATTGGAATCTAACCCAAGACAAGTTCATTATTTATTAGGGATACAGGTTTAATTGAACTGGTTTATGCACAGACAAGAAAAACTCTACCTACCCAGAAACCTGCTTTGCAAAGTCTCTCCATCCTAAGTGTTTCATACATATATATGTTATTTTGGGGTTTTCCTATTAAATAGATATGGCTATAACTACATTATGTGTTTTACGCCACTTGTAAACTTCACATACATAAAAAACACATGCAAGCTCTAAGAAAAGATAATGAAGTGAAAACACCTGAAGTTTATTTAAAGGGCAAGAAAAAACAAGTTCAGCTTTCAGTACTGGATTTTAATTCATATCAGTCCATCACAGTAAAACTTTTAATAACTTGCGTTCAGAGCCACTGGTAAGAGTTCTGCATCGCTGAGCAATCTTATACACTCCCAATGCTCCTGTTTTATTAAGGAAATCAAAATGTTACAGAATAGAAATGTCTAAATCTTTTCCCCTGGGGCTAGTGACATTGCATTACCACTATCTACACAAGAAAGTCTGAGGCTGACAACATTAAACATACATATATATAAACCGAGGTCTTCCAAGCAACAGAAATCCAGTACAAGCGCTATCTTGTAAAGGACATAGCTCACTCTTCCAGGAACATTATGGTCCAAACTGCTCCCAGACCTTCAGCACAGCAGAAATCCTTTCCCAACACTACATGCCAAGAAAAACTATGAAAGGGAAAGTATGCTATCCCATTCGCAAAGGAATTGCTATCTTTTATACTTAGGACAAAGAAGCCCCATAGCATTGTCTGTGTCAAAGACCTCAGCAGAGGATGTCTGCCTAAGCTTAAGGTGAAACAAAAAGCAGCTTAACGTTCAACTATGAGCTCTAGAGCACCACAATTAACAGCACATGCCAAAAGTCAACTGAGTCGCCAACAACTGTATGTTGGAAAAAGAAAACAGACTACCAGGAATAGATTTTTGGGATGGAGAGAGGGTAATGGCAGTTCTGAAAGAGTTTGAACACAATTATTTTGTTAAATGGTCTCTTTTCGGCCTTCAGTTATCCAGTGAATACATTTCATGAGTTTATTTCTGCTACACATAACCTCAGAAATCCATTTGCCTCCTGAGAAACCATCATTCATTTCAGTGATAGCATGTTACCCAGAGGAGTTAAAAAGAGGTAGTAAGAGGCAATGTCCTTCCTCCCACTCCCCTAAAACCAGCCTAAAACAGCACAGCCTAAATGTTCCATGACATCATTTGGGCAGGAAAACCAATAGTCCCTTCTCTTGTTAACATATTTTTTGGTTTGAATTATTGTTACTATTTTCCTTTCCTGTTCTCCACGTTTAAGAAATTTGTTGAGGATTAAAAAAAAAAAGGTTTAGTAGTTCCGTATTAAAGATATGTATAACCAAAGAATGCTACACAAGAAGCAACCAGAAACAATCAGGCACTGTTTGTTAGTACTAATAAAATACTAGATTAATCCTAGTTTGAACATCCTGACTCAAAACAACAAGTAGACAACCCTAAAGCCTAAATTTAAACAAGCTTCTATACAGTTAACACAGCACTGCCTGATGCAGTCATATGCAAAAGTGTATTAATGAATACACTGGCATATCTGGCTACAATACAAACTAATGCCAAGGGGTTTTAGTTCATACGTTTTTCAAATCCCCAACATTGCTAGAGACCGTCAATCAAAGACTAGGCAAACGAGGCGTTCTCTTGAAGGCCTTGGAACACATGGAAGACTCAGTACACATGTTAGCTATAGCATTCCTGTCTGGTTAAAAACAGAAGACATGCTTGTCTTACCATCATGCTATCCAAATACGGGCTTCCAAAACTGCGATTAAAACACTTTCTTACAACCTTGGCAACATTAGCTTAACTATTCACTAAAGCAGACATTAAGTTACAAAGGAACAAGTGCACTATTATTTAGACAGCATGCCTCCCCCCAAAACAGACTATTACTATTTTCCAGTCAGCCTTTCACAGAATTTCATTCTTAATAGAAGACATCCCATATAGTTTTCTAAGCAGTATTTTTAAAAACAAGGTCTTTTTAAATTCTCTAAAACATACACTTTAATCTAGTAACAACAATACAAATACAGGAAGTATCTATTGATGAATCCATCTTATTCAAGAAGTGAACTTCTAGTATAAGCAGCCTGAATTAGTGCAAAGGAAAAATATTCAACACGAAGGGAAAAAAAAAATCTTCATACTGAGGATTTTGTAAATAGCATATGCCCCACATGCACATACGAGTGAGATGATCTGAACATCAATAACTCTGGAAGAAAAAAAACATAAAATACTTCTCTCTTGGGCCTTCTATAGCACATATTACTATATTATCATCTCACTTCCCTGATTCTAGATGTTCATATCCAGACCACATCTAGAGAGACAGTTTGAAACTTGGAGACAAATGAAGTGGAGATGAGTAATCAACATGTACAAGTTAACAGCAACCTCAGTCTCCACTCTTACTCAGATGTAAAAGACCCCCTACTTTCCACAGCATAATTCTTTCTAGGCTTTTTTTCCACCTGGAAATTTCTTCACCTTGGGAAGCTACCTCAAAATGTCATAGTATTTTTTATTTTCATTCTTTACCTTAGTGCATCTTTAAAGGTGCCATCCAACTTTTAAGGCATATTCTTATAAAAAACCAAGATCGTACAGAAGGGAAATTAGTGTGGCGTGACTACACCATAACTGCATTCCCCCAAGCAGAAATGAGCTAAAACATTTCACTGAAAGTAACTTTTTCAAGTAATTATCAAGCAGATTAGCATCAACCCCAGAGGGGATCATTCTTCCTAGGGGCAAGAAGCTGTAAATTTATATTCACAGAGGGTGAGGGGAAAAGAAAATTCCAGCTCACCATTACAATTACTTGCACTCAAACTACCACAAGTATTTCTTCTGTGTTTGTTACTTATAAAAAAACTACCATGTTTGGAGTTCTTAGGGCCTCATTAAAATAACTTACTACCATTACAGAAAAAAACAGAGTTAAAGGGTGCTTGGAAACTACAGCATTGATTAGATGTCATTATCAAAAGAGAAACAAGATACCTTATTGCCATCTTCCAGTATTTCAGGATGGAAAAAGATAAGGTCCTGTCTGCCTCAGTAACAGGCAGAGTTCCCAGATGATCCTCATCACAAGAGCAACAATTCTGAAAACTCTTAGGAGAGATGTCATGGTCTATGAAGCCTGTTCAAGCAATGAAAAGCAGTAACACTAGCTCTGACTCACTAAAGGAAAACAGCCAAGTTGAAGACCTCCTCAAAGTCAGTTTATATTTATAAAAAGAGAAATTTGTAAACTGATGTAATTCCTAAAACTTAAGCTCTGGTTGACAAGGGGCACAATATGATGAAAGAAAAATAACACATTTCTCTAAATAATAGTAAATATTTCCTTGAACTTCAGACTTCGTCAGTATCAGCACAACACAAGTGGATAAAGACGACAGCTATTGCAGGTTTTACTTTTCCATTAGCAAAGCTGGTTCAAACAGAAGGCGGGGATGGTGGTGGTGGTCGTTTCACTGGACTACCAAGGTTACTCCTGAAACATCGTGTTGGAAGGGGACTGGTAGAGCTGCTTAGCGCCTGTTCTGTGCTGCTCTGAATTCACGGCCCGCCCAGCGGCTCCCGGCAGCGCGGACTGTGGGGCCGGTGTCCAAGCAAACCCTGCTGTCGAGAGGGCTGCAGGGCCGGGACACCCCGCCGCTCCGCTGCCGCCGCTCCGACGGTGCGGGCAGGGGCTGCGCTGCCGGACACACCGCCCGCCCCGGCTGAGCTCCGCGGCTCCGGCGGCGACTGCCCCCGCCCGCGGCACGGGAACGGGAACGGCCGCCTCACCCCGAGAGTGCAGAGCTGCCTCGGTCCGGTACCCCCAGGCAGCCCAGGCACTCCCGGCGTCGGGTCGGGGCGGAGGACGCCACCGCTGAGTTAATCGTTAACTCGCTGCCCCGCTCGTCGGAGAGCTCCTCCCGCGGGCGCCGTGGCAGCCGGCAGCGCCAACGGGGCGGGCGCGGCGCAGCACCGAGGGAGCCGGTGGGCACACCACCCCCGCCCACCCCACGGCCACCGCGACCCGCAGCAAGCGACTGCCGCCCCCACACCCACCTTTCTGCAGGCTCCGCTTGGCTCCTCTCCCTCTTGTCGCCGCAGTGCCGCGGGCGGTGCGCGGAGACCCGCGCGGAGCGGAGCACCGTGCGCTCCTCTGCCCTGCCGTGCCCAGCCCCGCCGTGCCGTGCCCCGCGGCCGCGGCAGCCGCGCTGCCAGCGCCGAGGCGGCAGGGCGGGCCCAAGTGGGGCTGCGCCAATCGGGGCCGCCCGCGGGCCGCCCCCCGCCCCCGCCGCCACCGTCCCGGGTCGCCCGCGAACCGCCGGCGCGGCGCGGCGCGGCGGGTGGTGCAGGGGAGAAGCGGCAGCAGCAGTAGCAGCGCGGGCAGGAAGCTGGTTTGGGAGGCAGGAGGAAATAAGCACGTTGACACGGAGTTTGGGATCGCTGGAGGGAGGGAACAACCAAATCCCAAACGCTGCCTATCGTGGGCTGCGTCGCTTCCGCGGGGCCGCGGCGGAGCCGGGCTGGCGACGGCAGCAGCGCAGGAGCGGCGGGGCCGGAGGGAGGCCAGCCAGAGCCTCTGGAGCGGGCGGAGACGCCCGGAGCCTGGATTTAAAGCTTAGACGAGCAAACCTCCAAAATTAATGCATAAAGCGTCCTTTTAGCTCTCTCACGAGTTTTGCAGCGCGAAACGTGCTGAGAACGGAAACACGTTCACACCTTGGCACAGAAAGCACACGGGGCGGGAGTCGGGTCTTGCTCTTCCTACTGGCCCGCGGGTAAAGCACTGCCAAAGCACGGAGAGCCTGGGATCGGTCAGGTGTGGCATGGCTGCTCGATCCCCCAGTGAATTCCCTGAAAGGCATTATCTTCTGTTAAAAGCTTCAGCCTTCGAATAAATGACAGCGGGCTGTGACTCCACACCCGGAGAGTAGGACTGGAAACAAATGCTGCTTCTGTACTTTCTACACTGAGTGTCAGTGAGGTGCCCAGAGCCTGAGCCACATTGCTGGAATTGCTTTGTGTTCACTGTGGCAGCGCTGGGAATGTAATGCTTGGAAACAATAAGCTAGTTAGTAAGAAAATAAACATTCCTAACATAGCAAAATATGTTTGTACTTTATTTTACAATGTTTAACTTGTAACACTGAGGTTTTGTATGATTGTCAACATGAAATGTAGTTGGTCTGATTTCTGTTAGTTAAAATATAAGCTGATTGTTCACTTGGGGTGTGTGTATTTTGATTCTGTGGTTTAATCTTACGTTGTTGATGTTACATAGCAGCAGTTCACTACAGCCTCAGTTTTTCAAACCATCACACTCAGTTGTATTGCTGTGCATTTAGATCTGTCTTGGAAAACTCTGAAGTCCATTTAATGACTTATATTACTTTCAATAAATTTTGCATGGATATCATGGAAACAGGCCAGTCTTCAGATATACAATGTCTTTCCGTTGTATATCTGAAGAAATTCAACCCCAGTGGCCCTCAGTTGGCCTTGTACATTAAAAACAAATTTTCAAATCAAAGCAACTTTTTTGTGTAAGTCTAGTTGCCGGTAGAGTTCGGTGTCTCCAGCATCCATGGACTTCAGGCCAGATGTACAGCCATGAACACAAAGAAGGGAGAACAGGCCACAGTCATGAAAGGCGAAGTTGGAAAAAAGGTTACTTTTTTCTTTTTCTGATGATTCTGAGCACTGAGACTTTCAAAGAGTACATCACGATGGTTTTTAGAAAGATAAACTAGGGAACATCCAGATATGTGATTCATTTTTATCTACCGTCTAAATACCAAGTCTTTTAAAATGTCATTTTCTAATTTTTCTGCAGCCATACAAACTAGTAACGCTGAAGTTGCAATAGTTATTTGATTACCTGATTCCAGAAACCAAAGAAAGAAAAGCTGAATATACATTCAGGAAAACTAATAATGAGACTTTTCAGCTCTTCAGCCTTTCAACCCTTTTTCGGTTCTCTTTCTCATGTGTTTTGGTGGGCTTTGGGGTTTGGGTTTTTTTGGGTGTTTTGTTTTTGTTAATTTGTTTTTTCTCTTGTTTTGCATTTTTGGGTTTTTTTTCCCCTGGTAGGTTCTCACAATGTATGTAATACATAGGCAATGTGTTTTAGATAAGAGATTGAAGTCCAGCTTTTATTTTTGCAGCTACTCAAACCTTTCAAATGTGTCTTATTTTTGCTTCCATCATCTTTTGAACTGATAGTATTTAATTTTGGTAACTAGATCGTTGCTACTAGAAATGCTAAGTTGGATTGGTGGGCTTGGGTTTGTATTTAAGCATATAGCCTGTCATTTCTAATGACATGTAGTGTTCCTGTAAATGTCATCTTCTTTAATGTCCTTGGGCTTGTCAGGCTGAGTGGCCTGCTTGTTCTTGGCCATTGTTCTCCTGCTACTACTGGATAAATTTATTAGTTAGACAGATTTAGCACATCAAAACTGTCCAGCAGACTTCAGCCTTCATGCCAAATGGGTCTAGGAAAGCAAGTGGGTTTACACATGGAAATAGCCCTAGACAACACAAAAAAGATCTGTCAGTCAACCATGTAAAAGTATTTGAGTGCCTAAGGGGTCCAGTTAGTTGAATACATTTGAAAGATTAATGCCCACAGCAGTATGCCACACTTCTTCACCATCTTCATAGTAGAACAGGACATGTGTTTGTTTCTATCCTGCTCCAATTCATAGTCTATTATCTCAGTACAAACAAACCTCACCTCTAACCTAAACGTTCCTTGCAGCAATCTCTGGCCAGGAGGCAGAGCATAAACCAGTGAAGTGATATTGTCTTAAACCATTTTAAATAATTACACCAAAGCACATCTCTGAGAACCATAGTGTTTGCACTACTGAGACCTGAGAAACAAACTGAGTTTGCCTGTATGTCCTGTAAGGTGGCATCAGGAGGGAGGTCCAGATTCAGAGAGGTTCACTTGCCATCAATTCCACCGGAATAGAGGTCAAATAGAGATACTGGTGGTTATCTGGGTTTAAGACTCTGAGTATTCAAAAGCAAAACTTATTGTTTCCTCCAGGAACACAAAAGGCTAGGAAAATGGCTTGTGTGCAAGATACTTAAAATTACATTTAGATAATAAACTGCTTCTGAGAAATGTGACCTCAAATTTTAGGCTTAAGAAATGTCATGCAGGCCTGGAGAGCAGGAAATATGACTGTTACAGTTGTGCAGTGAAACCACCAGAACATCACTGATAAACAACTTGATAAGGGATTAATGAGCTGGATGTCTACAGTCCCTCATAGCACTAATAGTGCAGGATACATGAAGTATTATATAGGGAATAATTTTTGAACATAATATATGAAGATATGTAGAATAAGCTGAATGTGCAAGGCTAATGGCAAGCCTGACATTCATGCTTAGTGCATAGCTAAAGTCATTAAGCAATTTAAGTGCTTCACACTTGCAAGGCAGAGATAATGACTTGTAAGAAAGCTGCACTATGCAAAGTATAGAGAGGGATACTGTGTCCTGTGCTTTTGGACTTCTCAGTCTGCAGTGCTATAGGAGCCAAAACTGTGTTCTGATGTCACCTGCATACACTGCTCCTCTAGCTAATTATTCTAGCCCTCAGATCACAAAACCCCTCATGGCCAATCCAAGTCTGTGATTAAAAGTAAGGGGAGTCAGGGGACTGGTTGGGTGGTGGGGGCAGTCTCTAGAGCAACCAGTGTTGCTGTTGGCTGGTGGGAAAGCAGCCAGTCTTGAAGAGTCAAAAAGGTGGTGTCGCGGGGGGGTTCTAATCCCCCGAGAACAGACCCTTGGGCACACTTTGTATAGGAGACAGGCACACAGTGGTGACCCACAAAATGGCATTTATTGAAACAAGATGTCAGTTTATATACAGAGGAGTATAGAAGAGTCTGGAACAAAGGAGGGATTCTTGATAGGAACATCAAATCCTAAGGGTCAGTGATAAGGGAAATGGAGGGATTGGCCACAAGGGATATGTCCAGCCATATAGGGAGAGTTGGGAGCTAGGGAGTAAGGGAAGGAGTGGTCTGGGGTACAAACAGGGGAATTCCACAGTGGTTTGTGAGGCTGCGTTCTGTGGCTGGGTCTCAGGCAGCCCCTCACAGCTGCAGTTGTTCTTCCTCTGAGGCTTCCTTGCAGCTTTTCTGCATCTCTCTCCATTCTCTGTAGGCTCCTGTTGGTCCACCTCCGACAAGGTGGGCTCTGTGGAGAGCTGATGGCAGGCAGGGTAAGACCTTGTCCAACATAGGTAAAAGTAGAAACTACTCATCTGTGAGAAATGCATGTATACTACAGAAATACATCACGTCCCCAGTGTGTCATCTGAAGAACCATAACTCTGATTTTTCTTTTTGCTTTAGAGTGAAATAAACTGTATTGCTTTTTCAAATAATGAAAGAATGCATCCATATGTACGAAGGTAAATGGACAGATTTGCATGTGTATTTTTGTAAAAAGTACTAATAAATTTTTAACATAAAAGTATACTTCCCATCACCCTTTCTGAGTTCTATTTTCTTCTGGAAGTTCTCAATATTAGCAAGTGTTGCTTAACAAAAAGAAATTTGGTACAAGCTGTTCCACAGAACTAATATGATTTACTAATGTTTGCAAGAAAAGCATTATGTATCTATGCATTGCAAAACTGATGTCTATATTTATAGATAGAGACGTTTTGGTGATAGTAAGGTCAATTTAACAAATTGCTTCTACCCCTTTCTTACCCATGAAGGGAGCATTCAAGAATACTGCACTTCTTTCAGCAGAAAGTATTGGCAGGCAGCAGAGGAGGCATTCCTTCTCTCTTATCTTTGGGGCTTTTCCTTTCCCACATGAAAAGACACCTCTCCCCACCTCCTCCTCCACTCCAAATACCTTCTTGAAAATATTCCTTCTATGCGGTTGAAAAACAACCAAATGGGTTGAGCCTGGAAAGCAAGCCAGACTGAGAAAAAAAACACCTGATAGAAAACAGAGTGGATATGGCATATTCCACAGCAGGATCTGTAGGAAACGTAAAGCAAAGCAGGTATTTCATTGTGGACCTCTCATCTTACAACACCTTAAAACAAGAGCAGAAATTTTCAATACTTCAAAATATCAATAAAAGTCTAGTATGAGAAGGATACTGTTCTACGATCGAAAGATGGCTTTATCTTTCTTTAAAACAGACAAAATGAAGCACCACAAAAAGCTAAATAATACTTCCCCATAATTTTTCTGTTCACTCTGTTTCTTCAATGATATCTTCTGACGTTTATTCATTTCCTGTTTACATTAAAAGCAGTATCTCTAACTGCAAACTCAGGCCTCCTCTAAGCCTGCCAATTGAAAATTAAAGTGTTTCATTATGTATGAGCACTGTCCAAAAGAAATAGCCCTTAATTCAAAGCTAATTAAGATAACATCAAGTTATGTGGAGACATAAATAGATATATGTTTGTATCTATGTGTGGAAAATCCCTGATTACTGGGATAGATTAGAACTGTCCTACTTCCTACAATGAAGGTACTGGAGCTTGTCACAGAACATGCATGGACCAGTTTAAAAATAACTATGTAAGAATGAGATAAGGAATGATCTTCATTGACCAGTGATATCTCAGAAAGCTTGCAGAGACACAGGAAGGCTGAGGAGGGGAGGTGGGGGCACAAGTGAGCCTCAGAGATCTTGGAAATGTTTGTGATATCTTCTTAATTTTTTTTAAAATATATACAGTGGGTTAGGCAGCGGTGGAAGCTTTAAAGGGGTTTGATTAGTGTATGCTTATAGGACTTGGAAGTCCCTATCATTTTATAAGATCTGGTTGGCCTAGTCAATAATTACATGTTTCTTTTGAATAGCAGATAAAATCTATGCAAAGTGTTAGTGATTATCAAGGGAGCGACAACACATGCTGCCTGGCCTAGCAAAGTATATGACCTGACCACAGAAATTCTACTGTGATTTGTAATATGCTATGGGGAATGCAACGTAGAATTATATATGATTTGCACACCATGCCTTACTGGTTATCATCACTTCATTGTTAGTATCATGGCAATGTGAAGACTAGTGTTGAACATCATAGGTCTGAGTATGACATTCAAGGAGTTTAGAAAGGTTAGAAACATGATTTCATGACAGTTAATTTAAAAATTTTTGCAATGGAGAATTATTTGCTTTAGTGTCAAGAGTAATTAGAAAGTTTGCAGCAATTATTTGAAAAATGCCGTTCATGATAAAGGGGAGAAAAAGCAAACAGCACTGGATAATTTACTGTGATGCCTGTACAAAGCACTTGCATAATGTTTTATTGGCTCTATAGTATTCTTTCCTAAATCATGTCCCTCACTAGATAATACAAATAAGTTCTTTTCTTAGAAACAAGTTTATTTTTCTATTCAACTTGCAGCTGTGAATAAAAAAAAAAAAAAAAAAAAAAAAAAGGAAAAACTGATTGATTTGAGAAAGTTTATTCTTCCAGAAAACCATTCAGTTTATTTTTTATTATTACAGTGATTATGGACCCTAATTTTGTTTAAGGTCTAAACCATTGTGTAGTTTTATATTTGAAATATAAAATGTACATTAAATATATTTTCCTTATATTAATATTATTTTTGAAACAACTTGATGATAATGAGCAGTAGTTTTAAAGACCATACACAGAGATAACTGAAGATACACTATGTAAAGGAGGAGGAATCGAAAATAAATTTTTGAAAACTGTAGTCTTTTTATCAATATATGATGTTTTCGCACTTGTTTATAAAGATGCAAAATTTTCAAAGGCTCCTCAATCTGATTTTTATTTTTTTATATGCAAATGATAAAATTAAGTTCAAATGACCTTGCCTTTCAGTTGGCTCTGAAAGCTAGCTGAATGTTTTTGCTTGTGTGTACAACTGTCTGGATTAATAGCTAATATACACATATATATAAACGTACACATATATATACATACACATACATATACACACACTCTAAATTCCAATTCAAAAAGAAAATCGTTAGCCAGAATCTTACATTCAGTTTAAAGTCCTATGAGAGAGTCAAGGCTGCAAACAGAAATCTTTAGAGATTGGCTATAACAAAGGAATCCATATTTTAGAACCCACTGTAACTGAAAAGAAGTATCTCACACTTCATATCTGATTACTACTCAGAAATACAACAGTACTCTGTACTTCCTAGTTGTGAGAATAACAGATATAAGTGCTGGTATAAGTAGAGCCCTGGATGAGAGCTGTGGATAACATATGCCCCAGGGTAATCATAGATATCTTTGAAGATGTAAAGAGTGTTTTTAGTGAAAATCCACAGGTAATGACAGTTTAAATTCAACATTCTAAATCAATAAGCAGAGTTATTCCAACTTTTGACAAATGGCACGCATAACAGTCTATGAAGTCTACTCTAGATTTTCAAGTGAAGAAGTGAAGCCCGAAGATACCAGAAACTCCATCTCAGACCTGAAGAACCATTTTAAATCCATAAATTAATATACATGAGAAAAAAATGTAAAATTAGAAGTAATTTTTAAAAGAGGGGGCATGATTGTGATGCGACTGTTAGGTTTGAAACAGGAAAGACTTTGTTATGCAAATGGGATTCTATATTGTTTCTTGTCCGTAACTTTTACTTTCTGCAAACTAAAGGAGGAAAAAAACCTAGTAAAACATTCTCTGTCTATGAAAGAAAAGAGATTATATGAAAACCAATCAATCTCTTGAATAAATTCTGTTCTCAAAGCACACTGAGTTGTGTTAGCAGAAATGTTTCCTGTGAGATATTTAAATTAATGATATAAAAAATATTAGAACTGCCTTTTCTTTAGTATTTTTTCACAAATTCTCTTGTTAATTAAAAGAAATGATGAATACAGTTAATGGATAAAATCTAGAATTTGTTTCCAATAAAACAATCCCTCCCACATCCTCAAACACCAACTCCAGATTTAGTAGCCTATCTCTAACTTGCAGCTAACACTGGATTCTGTTAACTGTTCTACATTTGGGTCCTACTATAGTAGATGATAACTAAGAAAAGAAAATCTGTGTAGAAAATGAGAGCATCCGATAAAAAAATGACTGTACATAGAATTCATTTCTATTCCATTTCTAGGCCATTTAGTTGTCACCTGGCACATTGTCGTCATGTGTTTTGTTTCACTACCATGCTATTTTTAATCTGCATATCACTGGCAAACAGTTAGCATAAGTTCTCTCCTTTATGGGCACTTTAGTGTCTAAATAAACAGCACTAAAATGAGCTTTCATTGACACCATCTTGTCTAAGTGAAAAAAGTGTTGGTTATTTGTTGTATTTGTTTGCTTTTGTGTCTAAAAGTAAACTTTTTTAAGATAGAAAATAAAAGCAAGAAAATATTCAAGTTATGCAACTCCTGTCTCTTAAGACTTGATTCCCTAAATGGGGAAGTAGAAGAAAGTAGTCAGGCAAAAATGCCTAAAATGAAAAGGATATTTAAGGAAAACCATTAAATGATACACTTGTTAATATCCAAACACTAGCTTTTGAAATTAGTGTTCTGTGAGTGAGAATATTACTGCAGCTACCTTGAGTTTTTCCATTGCATGATCCATGTTAATGATAAATATTCTGAAGGGTGTGCTGGCCCTACTCTGAAATGTGCACTCTGACTTTGCTCGGTTCTTGTAGCTGCCTAATTTCAATGAAGTTACTTCTTGTTTAAACTTGTATTCATCTCGTATTCGTCTCAAATTTATTTTTATCCATTTTCCTTTCATTAAAATGAATACTTTCCTTGTGTAGTGGTAAAAAATTCTGTCTACGACTGGAAAAAACATTTTTTTTTCAGCTGCCTTTTTCATGTATATATACAGGGTTTAAAAAAAAAAAAACCCCAAAACTCTCCTACTGCTTACAGTCTGTAAACCGTATCTTTGCTTTTCAACTGCTGTCTTTTATCTGGATGTGTTTAATATTCTTCTGTGCAACAGTGCAGATGCAAGTACTTATAATGATAAAGCCTTGTCTCCAAGAAGCACATTACACTGCAGTAATACATAGAATGACATACAGATAACTACACTGTGTCCTTTAAGAGGTTAAGACAGTTTAAATTAAGTAAATTGAAAACTTCACAGATTTCTCTATAGAAATGTTTTCAGAACATTTTATTTCAAAATACTGATTTGTGATTTTGTTCTCAGGTGTTAATACTGAGAACTCTGAGTCAGCAAACTATAGCTAGAACGAGTGCTTAATGTA